TATTTTAGCGAGGTTAAATCGGCCACGTGTATCTGAATGTTTCAATCAGCCGCGTATTTGAGATGAAACAAAAACAATTCAGTTGATTACACATTGATGATACATTACCATTTTCCATTATTAAAACAGAATAGATCATAAGACTCTTTAGTATCCAATAGTGTGTGGCGGGAGAAGAGTTTCCAAAGAGTGATTTACACACTTTTAGGAGACTATTGCCGACTGGGTTGGTGTACATTAAATTTGGCGGTTGGCGGGAATGAAAACCTTTCGACAATAAATCTACGTTTCCGCATTTTCAAATGGCTCTTTGTCTACAACCTAAAAACCTAAAGGTATCAAAACCATAATAATAGCAACCCAAATCGTCTAAATGCTTCTGTCTGATGCAGTAGGATCAATAGCAGAGTTCATCACGAATCATAAGATCTCCGCAAGTGGACTCACACCTGCCTTCCCAAGTGTCCGACAGTTAACGAACGATTAAATGCAAGCGTTTGTTTGTTGTGTGTTTCATTATATAGGTATTTATTATATAGGTGTATTATTATATATATGTATATATATATATATGTATACATAGTATAATGTATATATATATATATATATTATTATAATATTATAATATATATATATACACACACATGTACTACCGCACACATATATATATAATATATATATATATATATATATATATATATATATTATATGTACAACATAGGTATTTTTTCCATCATATAAGTAGATAGATAGATACATATATGATATATATATATGTGTGTGTGTGTGTGTGTGTGTGTGTGTGTGTGTGTGTGTGTGTGTGTGTGTGTGTGGTGTGTGTGTGTGGTGTATATATATATATATATATATATATATATATATATATATATATTTATTTATATGTATGTATATGGGTGCTTCATGCGCAGGGTGGTGTGAAGCGATGGTGTGGTAGTCTAGTTAGTGTTAAGAGCTTGCATGCCCTCTCGCTTGCAGCTGCCACCGCTGGCTAGCCTCGTGCGAAAAAGGGAGCAGCTCTGCATAAGCCTCCCCCTGCCAGTGTATAGCCTCTCCATCATCGAGACTCCTGCAGTGCCTCCTCGTGGCCTCCCATGGAAACTGGGTACCTTACGGTTCCAGGCTAAACTGTGGGCGATTTCGGAGTAGCAGGGGGCCACAGAGGTTCAGGCCCTGTACCAACTCCTGCCCCTAGGTCCCCTGGGGTTAATGGGAGGCTCGGGGGAGGTGGGCCTTGCAGGACGGGAGCGAGAACTACTCGTCCCGCCTAGGAAGTCGTGGCTTGGGCAGATCGATCAAACCTGTCGTGAGGAGCTTGAGATGGGCTGAGTCCCTACCTGGCGACTTGCCATGAGGGACCCTCGCAGGTACAAGCAAAGGGCGAATGCGGCTAAGCGCCCCTGTCGGCGTTAGCTCCTTGACGATGATGATGATGTATATATATATATATATATATATATATATATATATATATATATATATATATATATATGCATTATATGAATGGCACACCGGATTGCCTCTGAATTATTTTTTCTCTCTATATATATATCTCTATATCTCTCTCTCTCTCTCTCTCTCTCTATATATATATATATATATATATACCTCCTGTACCCCGCACACAGACACACACACACACACACACACACACACCGTTAAGTGAGAAAGACAAGGGAAAATTTAACCTGAAAAAGACCCGAGAAGTCTACGCAACGGGGATGAAATGATGCTATCCACACACTATTAATAACTAGGAATGTGAAATGGGGAACCGGCGAGGGAGCGTGCGTGTAAAAATGTTTGTATCGTGTGACTTTGTGGAAAATGACGAAATATAATTGTTTTCTGTTATGCTGTTTGCGTGGAGTGCGTGTATGATGATTAGAATAGAATAGAATTAACCATTTTTGCCCTATTTTTCAATTCAAGGTGTACGAAATAGGATTTTGTTTCCAGATGTTTCCGCAGGTTTTACAGCAGGAAAATTCGTTCTGAACAAAAGGTTTTGTCAGACAAGTGTGGAACGACGAGAAAAAATACTCTTTATATATCGGGTGAGAGCTGTACTATATAGAACAACCATTAGTCCTGTATCATTTTTATTACAAACTGGTTCCTCATTTTTTTCTGGTTAGCTGTCGACTGTAACTTTCTGAATCAGAAATATTGAATCAAACAGATACTTTTGGATTCTTTTCTTCTGTGTTCGAACACCGAATGTCAAGTTGAATCAATAACCGAATTTTCAGAATCTTATCACTGAATGTTTTACTTTTAGTCTTAATGAGAGCACGAATATGTAAACCTAGAAATGCAGACTCCAAACCATTTACTGTAACAAACGCATATATTTCTTAATCCTAATACGCGAAAAATTCGTTTCATAAATAAACTAAAATCCTTTTTTAACGGATATATCATAATGTTTCGGTTTCCGCTCGTTTTTTTCCCCTAAAGTATAAGCTAGGCGACGTTCATGGCGGAATTTGCGAAAACCGTATATATATATATATATATATATATATATATATATATATATAATATATATATATATTATATATATAGAAAGAGAGGGATGAGGCATCGAAAGAAACTCCGACTAAAGACACAGAAACGAAACAAACGTATTTCTGCAAAGGAGCAGGACCCAGAAAGTGAGATAATTATTAAAGGGAAGGAAAGAAAAATAACAACAAGTGTGGAGTGCAACGATCACGAAAAAGAAAAACTCTTGGATCGATGGGAAATTGAACAAAACTTGGCAAAACTTAATATGCTGGAAGAATGGAAAGGCAAGGTAAATGCATAGTGTCTTATAGCATTATTGTCTAGACTTCAGACAGCGGATTTCACAAAATATGTACAACAAAGAACAGGTGACCTGACCGGGGATGACCTGAGTGCCTGTCCTTCGCAAATAACAGCTGCACACACGGGTCGCCTACGGTACCTCACAGCTCATCAGTGAATGTGTGCACGAACTTTCTCTTTTCTAGACCTTGACTCTCAATATTTCTGTTTTTGTATTTTATGTTATTATCTGGTAAGACACCTAATTTTTGTATGAGAACTGTGAGCCCACACTGGGACTTATCAAGATAAGGGTGAGGATAACATACGTTACCACATCCTTTTGAGATGTAACCTTTTGTCTCAATAAACTTGTCAAAAGTCTCTCTCTCTCTCTCTCTCTCTCTCTCTCTCTCTCTCTCTCTCTCTCTCTATATATATATATATATATATATATATATATATATATATATATATATATATATATATATATATATATACATACATATACATATACATCACACACACACTAAAATCACACATACACGCAAAAATCATACACACACACATCAAACACACGCACGCAAAAACAGCCATCACAACAAATGCTATTGCTCTTTACCAAGTCTATACGAGGCACAGCGGCATGTTGTCCTCTCATGGAGCAAATGAATTAACTGCTCGTTCTAACAGCCTTGGCGATTGTGTTCGCGTCCATTGTCTTCGTGGAGCAGCGACTAGTCGATTCGAAGTACAGCGCTGTAAAACTACAGCGTCTCTCTATTTAAAAGACTCTGGGCAAGATTCCGCGCTGGTTTGCCACCGAAGAAGAAATGGGTGTCCTCCTGTGCGACCTGCCGGCGTCACCTTGGTACACACCGAGGATCATCACCCTCCAGCGACAGCTGGAGTGCAACAACAAGTCTTTGCTGAAGCTTCAGGCCCTTGCTCTGGCCGTGACCGCGCAGGTAGCGACAGTGAAGAGGACTCTCTTCAGTGTCGCCGTCGCCGTCCTCATAGTCTTTGGACTCCTCACCGTGGCCCGCCGCGCGACTCGCTCTGTAACAAAATAGTTCAAGGAGACTCAGGAAGTCCCCCTCGAGCCCGAGAAGGAGACCCAGGAAGTCCCCCTCGAGCCCGAGAAGGAGACCCAGGAAGTCCCCCTCGAGCCCGAGAAGGAGACCCAGGAAGTCCCCCTCGAGCCCGAGAAGGAGACCCAGGAAGTCCCCTCGAGCCCGAGAAGGAGACCCAGGAAGTCCCCCTCGAGCCCGAGAAGGAGACCCAGGAAGTCCCCCTCGAGCCTCCCCTCGAGCCTCGAGCCTCCCCCTCGAGCCCGAGAGACCCAGGAAGTCCCCCTCGAGCCCCCAGGAAGTCCCCCTCGAGCCCGAGAAGGAGACCCAGGAAGTCCCCCTCGAGCCCGAGAAGGAGACCCAGGAAGTCCCCCTCGAGCCCGAGAAGGAGACCAGGAAGTCCCCCTCGAGCCCGAGAAGGAGACCCAGGAAGTCCCCCTCGAGCCCGAGAAGGAGACCCGCCCAGCCCAGCCCCCCGCCCAGCCCCAGGAAGACCCGAAGGAAGACCCGGAGCCCGAAGACCTAGAGCCCCCCGCCCAGCCCCCCTAGAGCCCGAAAAGAAGACCCGCCCAGCCCCCCTAGAGCCCGAAAAGAAGACCCAGCCCGAAGACCCTAGAGCCCCCCAGCCCGAGCCCCCCTTAGAGCCCGAAAAGAAGACCCGCCCAGCCCGAGCCCGAAAGAAGACCCTAGAGCCCGAAAAGAAGACCCTTAGAGCCCGAAAGAAGACCCTATCCCGAAAAGAAGACCCAGCCCGAAAAGAAGACCCAGCCCGAAAAGAAGACCCAGCCCGAAAAGAAGACCAGCCCGAAAAGAAGACCCAGCCCGAAAAGAAGACCCAGCCCGAAAAGAAGACCCAGCCCGAAAGAAGACCCAGCCCGAAAAGAAGACCCAGCCCGAAAAGAAGACCCAGCCCGAAAAGAAGACCCAGCCCGAAAAGAAGACCCAGCCCGAAAAGAAGACCCAGCCCGAAAAGAAGACCCAGCCCGAAAAGAAGACCCAGCCCGGCCCGAAAAAGAAGACCCAGCCGAAAAGAAGACCCAGCCCGAAAAGAAGACCCAGCCCGAAACCCCCGAAAAGAAGACCCAGCCCGAAAAGAAGACCCAGAAAAGAAGACCCAGCCCGAAAAGAAGGCCCGAAAAGAAGACCCGGCCCGAAAAGAAGAGCCCAGCCCCCCTAGAGCCCGAAAAGAAGACCTGGGCATCCCTCTTTCATTCCGAGAAGATGACCCTGACTGTCCCTGTAGAGCCTGAGAAGACCTGGGCAGCCCGCCAACAGCCCGAAAAGAAGACCTGGGCAGCCCGCCAACAGCCTGAGAAGAAGACCTGGGCAGCCCGCCAACAGTCCGTGAGGGAGTCCTGGGGAGCCCCCCTAGAGCCCGAAAAGAAGACCTGGGCAGCCCGCCAACAGCCCGAAAAGGTGGGCAGCCAACAGCCCGAAAGAAGACCTGGGCAGCCCGCCAACAGCCCGAAAAGAATACCCGCCCAGCCCCCCTAGAGCCCGAAAAGACCCGCCCAGCCCCCCTAGAGCCCGAAAGACCAGCCCCCCAGCCCGAAAAGAAGACCTGGGCAGCCCGCCAACAGCCCGAAAAGAAGACCTGGGCAGCCCGCCAACAGCCCGAAAAGAAGACCTGGGCAGCCCGCCAACAGCCCGAAAAGAATACCCGCCCAGCCCCCCTAGAGCCCGAAAAGACCCGCCCAGCCCCCCTAGAGCCCGAGAAGACCCGCCCAGCCCCCCTAGAGCCCGGGAAGAAGACCCAGGCAGTCGCCCAGGAACAGCGTGAGGATATGACGACGATACCCGTTCCCGTCGAGCCCGCCCGGCTTGGCTAGGCCATTGGCAGGGGTGGATTCCGAGTCAATCACGTCGCCAAAAGGCACCGGGTATGGGTCATACTCCCTGAGCGCAACCAGCCCGAGGCAAAGATCTTGGTGACTGGCCCCAAGGAGAAAGCCATGGCCGCCGTCGTCGAGCTACAGCTCATGGCCAACTTGAAACTGAGCCCAAATCACGTCCTCGTGGCTTTAAACATTAAGCCTGAGGAGCGCATTTTGGTGCTTGGCCCCGAGGACAGCAAGGCCGCCTGGCTCGAGCGGGAATTCGCCGTCAGATTCATGAAGCCCGCCAACAACGGGCCCGTGGCGCTCGCGGGCGACATCGAGGCCGTGGCCAGGGCTGAGGCCCACGTCCACGACATGCTCGCCAAGCGGCGCCTTGACAAACCCCACCGATTCTGATGAAGCGGTCCACGCACAAAGGAAGGAGAGGCGCCTGCGGGAGGGGAGGCGCTCAACGCAGGCAGGACCAAAACCCGTAGTTGGTTAATTATATTACGGGCGCCGGTAACTCGTTTGAATCGTAGATTGGTCTCTAGTCGGGCGTGGAAGGCGGTAAGATTAAGATTTACTCCAGAGTATTTTGTAGTGTTATTTTAGTTTGAAAATAGCAATAGGATGGTGTTATTTACATGACTGTTGTGTATGCAATGAAAAGAATCACTTTTTTACCCGACCATGATCCATGGAGTGATGAAAAATTGTTGAAGACTGCGAGGGTGCGTCGCGGTCTTCAACAATTTTTCATCGTCTGCCGCGCAGACGATGCCATCATGATCATCACTATTACCATTGCCACCATTGAATGATGTTTTGATGATGGTGATTGCGGTATTGATAATACCGCAATCACCATCATCAAAACAGTAACGATAATAATAAGAAGAAAAAAATAGCAGCAACTCTGGGCAATATCAAGGTTACAGACCTTGACTTTGCCAATGATATTGCTATTCTATCTGAGTCTTTGGAAACCTTAGTAGTGGCTCTGGATGCATTTAGTAATGAAGCGAAGCCCTTGGGTCTAGAGGTCTCCTGGACCAAGACCAAGATCCAGCAACAACAACAAAAGTAAAACTAACAATAACAACAATAAAAATACCACCACCACCATCAAAAACAACAGCAGTAAAAACAGCAAAACCACCAATAACAATAACAACAACAGTAAAAACATCAACAACGGCAGCACACCAATACAATGCCAACAATAATAACAATAATAATAATACTAACAATAATAATAATAATAACTAATAATAATAATAATGATAATAACAATAACATACTAATAATAACTAATACTACTACTACTAATAATAATAACAATAATAACAATACCAAAAAACCCTTTCGCAAAAACACGAAAAAAAAAGAATTAGCACAGCATCCTACGATTTATTATGTATAAAGAACCGTGTAGCCATTATTAACTACATACCACATGGTTTTCCACGGGTGAATATTGTCCTTTTTTGTAAAAAAAAAATGGTGTTATAGTACATGCAATACTATGTAGTTTTCATCCCTTTTCTATAGGTAGCGTTGACGTGTGTTTGGAAGGGTTATATTTTCATTCCCGAGAGCTTCATAATGGCGTCCCCAAAATACCGGAATTTTGAGCTTTCTCTCTCTCTCGGCGGCGACGGGGGCGACCTCCTGGGTCTCGCAGAGCAAAGGGAAGCAAAAAAAAAAAAAAGAAAGAAAAAAAAGAAAGAAAAGAAAAAGAAAAAGATAAGAAAAGAAAAAAAATATATATATATATATATATATATATATATATATATATATATATATATATATATATATATATATACAGACTGAAATCATCATGGGGGCTGACGCTGACGGGGGCGCATGTGTCCAACAGTACCCCATGATCTGGCGCAAGGACCTATTGCAAAAGGCTTCAAGACGAGCCTCCAAGGCACAGGACAATGTCCAGGTTTCGCTACCGTATAGCAAAACTGGCATTATCAGGGCCTTGAAAACCCGAAGCTTGGTCCTTCTGCACAGGTACCGACATCTCCAAATACTCTTGTTGAGAGAGTTCATGACCCCTGCTGCCAGGCCAATCCGTCTGCTGACTTCATGGTCTGACAGCCCAGAGTTATGAACTACACTACCAAGGTATGTAAAGCTCTCTGTGACTTCAATGTCCTCGCCGCAAGCACGTACCGACTGAACAGGTTCTCCTATCAAGTCCCCAAATTCCTGGACCTTGGTCTTGGTCCAGGAGACCTCTAGACCCAGGGGCTTCGCTTCATTGCTAAATGCATCGAGAGCCGCTACTAGGGTTTCCAAAGACTCAGATAGAATGGCAACGTCATCAGCAAAGTCAAGGTCTGTAATCTTGATATTGCCCAGCGTTGCCCCACAATGACTTTGAACAGTAGCTCTGCCCAGTATCCAGTCCATGCAAGTGTTGAAAAGAGTTGGTGCAAGGACACAGCCTTGCCTCACTCCTGAACTAACAGGAAAGAAGCTCGACAGGCCCCCACCACACTTTACAGCACTTTCAGTACCAGTATACAGGCTTGCTATTAGTCCAATAATCCTTGTTGGTATTCCTCTCAGCCTCAGGATCTCCCAAAGTGACTCCCGATGCACCGTATCGAACGCCTTCTTGAGGTCGATGTAGGCTGCGAGCAGCCCACGCCCGAACTCACGACGGCGCTCTACAATGACTCGAAGCGCGAGGATACGGTCTATTGTGGACTTACCAGGAGTGAATCCGGATTGCTCCAGTCTCTGGTGCCTCAGTAGATGGTCTCTGATACGTCTCAGAAGGATGTGGGCGAGAACCTTGCCTGGTACACTGAGCAGTGTGATGCCTCAGTGATTGCTGCAGTCCCAACGGTCCCCCTTCCCCTTCCAGAGAGGGATGACCACACCCCTCAACAGGTCAGGAGGAACGGAACCGGACTGCCAGATGGCAGCCAGGACAGCATGTAACCCCCGTGCCATAGGTTCACCACCAGCCTTTAACAGTTCAGCTGGTATGCCGCAGATACCAGCTGCTTTACCACTCTTCAGCTTGGAAATCGCCCCCCTAACTTCAGTTAGGGAGGGAGGGTCCTCACTGATAGGTGGATCCGGCAGCGGGATCTCGACACTACCCGCATCCAAGTTAACTGTTGGTGGGTCCACCTGGTACAGCTGCTCAAAATACTCAGCCCAACGTCCCCGCACCGCAACAGGATCTGAAACGATCTGACCACTTACTGAGCGAACTGCTGTCACCTGTGAAGAGGGCTTGGAGTTCAGCTTTCTCAGGGCTTGGTATGCAGGACGAAGGTCATTTACTAAGAAATGGCCTTCTACCTCCTCTGCAAGACTCCTAATAAACTGTTCCTTGTCCCTTCTTAACAGGGACCGAGTTCTGCGCACATGAGAACGGTGCAATTCCCGATCCCCTGTCAGACGAGCGCACGACATGCATCTGTGGCTTCCAGTGTCTCCCGCGAGATGGAATTCTGTACTGCTCTCGGGCGTACACCAATCGTATCTTGAGCTGCATCAAGCGTTTCACGCTTAAAGGTATCCCACAGAAGAACAGGGTCTGTCAGACTGCCAAGCATGCGAAACGATCGGAGATTGCCTCAGCAAACCCGCGGGCACACTCCCCCTCCCTCAGCCTGTCCATACATTATATATATATATATATATATATATATATATATATATATATATATATATATATATATAGATAGATATAGATAGATAGATAGATAGATAGATAGATAGATAGATAGATAGATAGATAGATAGATATATATATATATATATATATATATATATATATATATATTATATATATATATGTATATATATATATATATATATAAATATTATATATATATATATATATATTATATATATATATATATATATATATATATATATTATATATATATATATATATATATATATATATATATATATATATTACAT